GAAGCTGGGGGTATATTTTTTGAAGTTATTTTCATTTTATTTGGAAAACAGAGAAACAGAGAGGCTAGAGAGAGGGGGAGAGAGAGAGAGAGAGAGGGAGACACAAAGATCTTCCATCTGGTTACTCCACAAATGCTCACTATTAGCCAGAGCTGAGCCAGGCCAAAACCAGAAGACTGGATTTTGATTAGGTCTCCTATGTGCTAGCAGAAATTAAAGCACTTTGGCCATCATTTCTTGCTTCCCAGGAAGCACATTAACAGGAAGATGGATGAGAAGCAGAGTATCAGGAACCCAAATCAGACAATGTGTGGGCATCCTAAGAGGCAACTTAATCTTTTGTGCCAAAGGCCAATCCCTGAAGGTAAATTATTTAATAAAAATTATTTCAATAATTAAATAATTTAGTAATTTAATAATAATAATAATTAAAATTATTAAATAAAGGTGTCTTCTCTTTCAGGTCTTTATGTTTGCCTTGACATTGGATCACATGTAACTCTCTAATTCCTGAATGTTCTCTCCCACCAAATCCTTTGGGCCAATACATCTCAGGAGGGATCAAAGCTTATCACTGAGCCAATATATTATTTCCAATTATTGACAAGAATAAAATTTTCAATATAAAAAAGAATTTTTTGTTTTTAATGAATAGCAGCTACTCATTTTTACACACTGCATGTAAGCATTAGAATAAGGATTTAAAAATAAGGAAATAGATTTAACAGGTTTTCATGCATGATGAAACTAGACATGAGAGAAAGGGAGACGTCCAGGGAAAAAACCCATTTTGGTAATGTGGGTCAAGGTTAACTGGTAGTAACACCTTACAGGTATAAAGGAGAAAAGAAGGGCTGTCACTGTGGCATAGCAGGTTAAGCTGCTGCCTGTAGTGCCGGCATCCCATAGGGGCACTGGTTCGAGACTCAGCTGCTCCACTTCTGATCTAGCTCTCTGCTATGGCCTGGGAAAGCAATAGAAAATGGCCCAAGCCCTTGGGCCCCTGTACCCGCATGGGAGACCTGGAAGAAGCTCCTGGTTCCCGGCTTCAGATCTAGCCAGCTCCAGCCATTGCTGCCAACTGGGGAGTGAACCAGAGGATGGGAGACCTCTCTCTCTCTGGTCTTTCTTTCTCTCTCTGTGTAACTCTGACTTTCAAATAATAAAAAAAAAAACGCTTTGATTTTCATTTTAGGCTTGTTGAGCTTGAGATGCCATTGGGAAAGCTACAAAGAAGTATTCAACAGAGAGTAGAAAATGTGTCTGAAGACCGTAGAAAAGGCCAAAGCTGGAGGAAAACAGGAGCGTCAGACCACTGAGAGATAAATCTGTCAAGCAGAATTTCAAGGTGACATGATTTGGAGAGCACATGGAATATTAGATGAGTGATGATAAAGATGATAAGTGGAATTTAAAGAAAAAGACAAGGAACCATTAGTGAGCTCAGGTTGAGAAAAAGAGTATGAATTTTTTTTTCTGTTTTTTTTTGTTTTGTTTTGTTTTTTACTTTTTTTTTTATTTAGTAAATATAAATTTCTAAAGTACAGTTTCCGGATTACAATGGCTTTCCCCCCTCCCATAATTTCCCTCCCACTTGCACCCCTCCCATTCCATTCACATCAAGATTCATTTTCAATTATCTTTATATAGAGAAGATTGATTTAGTATATATTAAGTAAAGATTTCATCAGTTTGCACCCACACAGAAACACAAAGTGTAAAATACTGTTTCAGTACTAGTTATAGCATTACTTCACATTGGACAACACATTAAGGATAGATCCCACATGAGGAGTAAGTACACAGTGACTCCTGTTGTTGACTTAACAATTTGACACTCGTTTATGGTGTCAGTAATCTCCCCAGGCTCTAGTCATGAGTTGCCAAGGCTATGGATGCCTTTTGAGTTTGCCGACTTCGATCTTATTCCGACAGGGTCATAGTCAAAGTGGAAGTTCTCTCCTCCCTTCATAGAAAGGTACCTCCTTCTTTTATGGCCCCGTTCTTTCCACTGGGATCTCACTCACAAAGATCTTCCATTTAGGTCTTCTTTTTTTTTTTCCAGGGAGTCTTGGCTTTCCATGCCTAAAATACTCTCGTGGGCTCTTCAGCCAGATCCGAATGCCTTAAGGGCTGATTCTGAGGCCAGAGTGATATTTAGGACATCTGCCATTCTATGAGTCTGCTCAGTATCTCGCTTCCCATGATGGATCGTTCTATCACTTTTTGATTCTATCAGTTAGTATTAGCAGACACTAGTCTTGTTTGTGTGATCCCTTTGACTCTTAGACCTATCAGTGTGATCAACTGTGAACTGAAATTGATCACCTGGACTAGTGAGATGGCATTAGTATATGCCACCTTGATGGGATTGTACTGGAATCCCCTGGCATGATTCTAACTCCACCATTTGGGGCAAGTCTGATTGAGCATGTCCCAAATTATACATCTCCTCCCTCTCTTATTCCCACTGTTATATTTAACAGGGATCACTTTTTAGTTAAAATTTAAATACCTCAGAATAATTGTGTGTTAATTACAGAGTTCAACCAATAGTACTAGAACAAACCAAAGAAAAAATACTAAAATGGATAAAGTATTACATTGTATATCAACACTCAAGACAAGAGCTGATCAAGTCACTGTTTCTCATAGTGTCCATTTCACTTCAACAGGTTTCCCCTTTGGTGCTCAGTTAGTTGTCATTGATCAGGGAGAACATATGATATTTGTCCCTTTAGAACTGGCTTAATTCACTCAGCATAATGTTTTGCAGATTCCTCCATCTTGTTGCAAATGACCGGATTTCACTGTTTTTGACTGCTGTATAGTATTCTATAGAGTACATGTCCCATAATTTCTTTACCTCGTCTACTGTTGATGGGCATCTGGGTTGGTTCCAGGTCTTAGCTATTGTGAATTAAGTTGCAATAAACATTAATATGCAGACAGCTTTTTTGTTTGCCAATTTAATTTCCTTTGGGTAAATTCCAAGGAGTGGTATGGCTGGGTTGTATGGTAGAGTTATATTCAGGTTTCTGAGGAATCTCCAGACTGACTTCTATAGTGGCCTTACCAGTTTGCATTCCCACCAACAGTGGGTTAATGTCCCTTTTTCCCCACATCCTCTCCAGCATCTATTGTTGGTAGATTTCTGAATGTGAGCCATTCTAACTGGGGTGAGGTGAAACCTCATTGTGGTTTTGATTTGCATTTCCCTGATTGCTAGTGATCTTGAACATTTGTTCTTTCTTTAAGGTTTTGTAATTTTTATCGTAGAGATCTTTAACGTCCTTGGTTTATTCCAAGGTATTTGATTGTTTTTGTAGCTATTGTGAATGGGATTGATCTTAGAAGTTCTTCCTCAGCCATGGTATTGCCTGTGTATACAAAGGCTGTTGATTTTTGTGCATTGATTTTATATCCTGCTACTTTGCCAAACTCTTCTATGAGTTCCAATAGTCTCTTAGTAGAGTTCTTTGGATCCCCTAAATAAAGAATCATATCATCTGCAAAGAGGGATAGTTTGAGTTCTTCCTTCCCAATTTGTATCCCTTTAATTTCTTTTTCTTGCCTAACAGCTCTGCTAAAACTTCGAGAACTATATTGAATAGCAGTGGTGAGAGTGGGCATCCCTATCTGGTACCAGATCTCAGTGGAAATGCTTCTAACTTTTCCCCATTCAATAGTATGTTGGCCGTGGGTTTTTCATAAATTGCTTTGATTGTATTGAGGAATGCTCCTTCCATACCCAGTTTGCTTAGAGTTTTCATCATGAAAGGGTGTTGTATTTAATCAAATGCTTTCTCGGCATCTATTGAGATAATCATATGGTTTTTCTTCTGCAGTCTGTTAAATGTGGTGTATCACATTGATTGTTTTGCGAACATTGAACCATCCCTACATATACCAGGGATAAATTCCACTTGGTCTGGGTGGATGATCTTTCTGATGTGTTGTTGCATTCTATTGGCCAGAATTTTATTGAGGATTTTTGCATCTATGTTCATCAGGGATATTGGTCTGTAATTCTCTTTCAATGCTGCATCTTTTTCCAGCTTAGGAATTAAGGTGATGCTGGCTTCATAAAAAGAATTTGGGAGGATTCCCTCTTTTTCAATTGTTCTGAAATGTTTGAGAAGTATTGGAGTTAGTTTTTCTTTAAATGTCTGGTAGAATAGAAGAGTATGAATTTTCAGATGGGGCTGGCTTTGTGCCACACTATACTAAACTGCAGCCTGTGACACTGGCATCCCATATGAGTGCCAGTTTAATTCCTGGTTGCTCCATTTCCAATCCAGCTCCCTGCTGTTGTGCCTGGGAAAGTACTTAGGCCCTTGTACCCATGTTGGAGACCTAGATGAAGCTCCTGGCTTCCACCAGGCCCAGTCATGGCCAAGGTGGTCATTTGGGGGAGTGAACCAACAGAAGGAAGATCTCTCTCACTCTCTCTGTCCTTTTCGCTCTCTAACTCTTTCACATAAATAAATAATTGAACGAATTAAGAACATGCAGTAGATTTTGTCCTCTTCACATCCTTGGTACAATCTATGAATCTAGCACCACCTCCTAGCAGGTACTGAGGATCACACTACTTCAGCAATTCCAGAGAAATCTTATTTGCTGATTTGCGTTTAGATCTGGGTAATTCTTAACCATGATAGAATGCTGAGTTTTTATTTCCAGGTTGGTACTAAACCACGTCCTCTGTGTCATCTATATGACCAATAAATGATATTTCAGACTTCATATCCTACAGGAATTTATCAAAGTCTAAGTCTCAATTTGAAACATGTAGTATGTCTTTTCATTATGGTATCAGAAAGATCAGAGACCAATTTCAATCAGCTTCGATGGCTCTAATGTCTTATAACCATGAAAACTACTATATTCTCTGAATTATAATTACTTTTACTCTTCTGTTTAAATTAACAAACCCCCATACAACTTGTAAAATACAATGTAAAATAAGCTGAGGAATAAGTAAGTAAACAACTTACTGAAGGTGTATTCATTTTCTTTGCTTTTGGAAACATGAAGAAGTCCGTAGAATTATCCTTGGAACAGAAGATGAATGGAAGGAGTTGTGAGAGACCTGGTCTGGCTTGCTCCCAGATCCTACTGTGCTAAGCCAGATCATGACAGAGATAAATGCAGACATGACAGAGATAACACACACATCAGATGAGGAAACAAAAATAATCAGTCTCTCTGTGCAGGAATAGCACTTAATGAATGAAAGAGGGCACGAAAGAACTCCTTGAAAGAGCATTCATAATTCTACTAATTGGCAGAAATTACATACAGATTATCACTAAGATACTGAAAACATTTATTTGCTACTTATTCCATAATGTATTGCAAAAAAAATTGTTAAACTGAAATATACCATAGGAAGAAACATTTTGCTATCATTAAAATCAGCACATAAAAAATACTTGGGTGTGGGGGCGGCACTGCGGCATAGCGTGTTAAGTCACTGCCTGCAGTGCCGGCATTCCATATGGGCACCAGTTGAGACCCAGCTGCTCCAATTCCTATCCAGCTCTCTGCTATGCCCTGGGAAAGCAGTAGAAGTTGGCCCAAGTCCTTGGACCCCTGCACCCGCATGGGAGATCTGGAAGAAGTGCCTGGCTCCTGGCTTTGGATTGGCGCAGCTCCGGCCGTTGCGCCAATTGAGGAATGAACCTCATGGAAGATTCTCTGTCTCTCTCCCTCTCTCCTTCCCTCCCTCTCTCTGCCTCTCCTTCTCTCTGTGTAACTCTGACTTTCAAATAAATATCTTTTAAAAAAAATACCTGGGTGATGGGGCCAGCGCTGTGGCATATATAGGACTTAACCTACAAGAACATTCCAAAAGGTAACATTTTCGGGACCCTTGACTATCCCTCTCAACTCACATCTCCCTTACAGTTCACAGAAAACTTCCCATATTCTTCAATAGACTAGAGATGAAGTGACGTAGTGTCACTCACTCAAATCTTGATCCTTCTGTGTAGTAGAATCAGTAATTGCTGGGCCATGCAAAGCTAGGGTGTTCACCTTTCTGGGACTCCTTTGCCTCTACTGTGAAGCACTAGACAGAGTTTGGGACAGAGGAGCTGTTCCTTCTGGTGGATTCCTATTCATGCAGTCTAAGTCTTCATTCAGCATAAACTGCTTTGTTAGGAAGACAGAACCATTGTCCAGTACACTCATCTCCCTCTTAGAACCCATTTTCTTTGAAAACTAGATTGCGTACAAACTTCTACAAACTCAAAGAAGGATAGTGGGCAGGCTACACACAGGAAGCAACAAAAGGCTCAGTTCTAAGGAGGCACCATAAAACCCCAAAGTACAACTATTCCATAGTAAGAGAGGATGCATACACTTCAACTTATTTTGCTGGAATGTGGGGCATTAACTGGGTACTGTGGATGCCTCTATGCTACAGATGGATAAACCCATGTCATACAGGTCAGTAACAGGACCTACAGTGGCTGAGTTCAAACTAGACTCATACCACACACCTCCTTGCTCATGAAATACACAGACTCCCCTTGCCTCATTGTAATCTTGGACTAACCACTTCATTTGTGAAGCTTCTGGACTCAGTGCCTGCACATCTGAAAGACCACCCTTGGCTTCTGACAATATAATCACCTGAAACACAAGCCATGGTGGACCTTCCCTGATTCCAGATCTGAGAATTCTTTGCCAGTGTGTCCTCCCCAACAGACCAGGGCCTGCGGCTTACACCTGAATGTCAGGACTCACCCACCTGAGAACCACGATGTTTCTGTTCTCAACAAGTGGAGAACATACATCCCACCCACTCCCAAGGAGTCACTGCTGCCTGTGAGGCCCCACCTTTCCCCCAGGAACTATCCTTCAGGAATGCAGAATGGAACCCATGGAGCAACAGGATAGCTGCAGGGCCTGGAATTCCTGAGAAGGCAGGAGTGGGCAGGATGCTCACTCACCATGCTCAGAAGAAACCTGAAAAACCTTTCCTTGGCTCTGTGGTGGTGGTCATGGCACAGGAAGATGATATTTCACACAAGCCTCTGCACCCCTCCATTAGGAAATAAGAATGACCTGTGTAATTCTTAGGTGTTCAGCCTTGCTGTCAGACATGGTGCGTCTGACTTCATCTCCATTCATGTGGAATACTAAGATTAATTCTTGGTTTGACAAACTCACATCTATGAGATGTGCTATTAGAGAAATTTCAATGTGGGCACAGTGTTGGATAACTATCACCACATTTAATTTCATTTTTAGCTGATAATTAAGAACATGTATCTATGTGTTACAGATGCTTGCTTAAACCATGAAGAAAGTAAAAATGATTCTACTAAAGATATCTGAATAAGAAGTTAATATTGCTACTGCAACTCAGGCCTATCCCTCTAAAAAGATGCTTGCTCTCATCTGTTAAAATGCTTGGTAATGCATCCAGGGACAACTGGGAGAACTCTTCTAGTGCATATACTGAAATAAAATTATGGATTTTAAGATGGGTACATCATTGTGCAAATACAAAACTTCCAAAGTCTTATAATGCAGGAACCTCAGTCTTGAGCTTCCAAGGCTAGGTACCCTTGAGGTAATCGTGCCTGAAATGTTAAGTATCAATGCCTTATTACTAGAAATGAAAAATGAACTTACAGGGATCGATGACCTAACTTGGCACCATGAAGTAGTAGGTCCTCATGTCCTTTCTCAAAATTGTCCCCTCTTGTTAACATGTACCTCTACTAGCAGAAGCTGTTCCTACAGGGACTAGAGATATGGGATCGAAGAGGAGTCCTGACAAGAGAAAAAGTAACAAGCCCATACTCACTGATAATTAAGGAGTAGTAAGCAACCCATTTTTCTGTCTCTTAGGTGTAACTTCCATGTAATGATTGGAGCCCCGAATTTTGTGTTCAATCAGTGACAAGAGTTCTAGTGATTAATTTGTACTGAATGAAGAGGAATAGTCCCTGTGGTAAAGATAAAGGAGGTGATAGCCAGAGAATGGGATAAGGCTCCCACAAGGATTATGACATGAGGTTAGTCTTTTATTTTTTCCTAAGATTTGCTTATTTATTTGGAAGCAAGAGAGACAGAGATATTTTTCTTCTGCTTGTCTAATCCCCAAATAGCGGCAACAGCCAAGTGTGTATCCAGGACAAAGCCAGTAGTGAGGATCCCTATCTGGGTTCTTTTACTTGGGTGTCAGGGACCCAGGTATTTGTGCCATCTTCCACTTGCCTTCCCAGGCACATTAGCAGGAATCTGGTTCAGAAGCAGAGTAGCCAGGCCTCCAACTGGCCCTCCAATATGAAATGCCAGCAATCACAAGCAGTGCCTTAAACTACTCTACAACAATGGTAGCACCTAAGTTTGATCATTTCTGATTCATCACAAGTAAAAATATATAGTGAGGAAACTCCAGTGCCTGACCATATTTTGTTTTGTATTAATTTACATCATATTTTTTTTTGACAGGCAGAGTGGACAGTGAGAGAGAGAGACGGAGAGAAAGGTCTTCCTTTGCCGTTGGTTCACCCTCCAATGGCCACCGCGGCCGACATGCTGCGGCTGGCACACCGCGCTGATCCGATGGCAGGAGCCAGGTACTTATCCTGGTCTCCCATGGGGTGCAGGGCCCAAGCACTTGGGCCATCCTCCACTGCACTCCCTGGCCACAGCAGAGAGCTGGCCTGGAAGAGGGGCAACCGGGACAGAATCTGGCACCCCGACCGGGACTAGAACCCGGTGTGCCGGCACCACAAGGCGGAGGATTAGCCTAGTGAGCCGCAGTGCCGGCCAACATCATATTTTTAAAAAGGCATACAGACGGCCGCTGCCATGGCTCAATAGGCTAATCCTCCGCCTGTGGTGTCGGCACACGAGGTTCTAGTCCCAGTTGCTCCTCTTCCAGTCCAGCTCTCTGCTGTGGCCTGGGAAGGCAGTGGAGGATGGCCCAAATCCTTTGGCCCTGCACCCACATGGGAGACCAGGAGAAGTACCTGGCTCCTGGCTTCAGATCAGCGCAGTGCGCCGGCTGCAGCGCACCAGCCGCAGTGGCCACTGAGGGGTGAACCAACGGAAAAGGAAGACCTTTCTCTCTGTCTCTCTCTCTCACTGTCCACTCTGTCAAAAAAAAAAAAAAAAAAAAAAAAAAGGCATACAGACAAGATTAATATCTTTCCTCACAATACCATGATCCTGAATTAATCACTGTCATTCACCTAGTTTATTTGCTAGACCACTTATTGCATTTATATAAACATCAGCATATAAATATGCAATGCAGACTGCAGAGGAAAATCATATTAATATGGATTTGACTTTTAATATTACAATATTAGCTACCGCATATAAGTGTGAAAAATTCAATGCAGCATATTTACAATTAGTTGGAAATCATATTACTTTCTTAAGTAGCACAACTGACATGAATGAATGCATGTGTTCATTGAATAGGTATGAATTCATGAATTCAATGAATAAGCAGAACTGATATTAATATAAATCATGTATTATGCAATTCATTCATTAAGAGTACACATACAGGGAATGGTGTTGTGGTGCAGTGGGTTAAGCCATCCCCCACAATGCTGGCTTCCCATATGGGCACAGTTGTGAGTCTGGCTGCTCCACTTCTTAACCAGCTCCCTGCTAAGATGCCTGGGAAAGCAGCAGAAGATGGTTCAAGTGGTTGGGCCCCTGCCACTTGGGAAATGCAGATGGAGTTGCAGCTCCTGACTACTGCAGGCATTTGGGCGAGTGAAGCAGCAGATGGAAAACCTCAGTCTGTTTCTTCCCTATCTCTCTGCAACCTTGCCTTTCAAATACATACATCTTTTTTTTAAAGAAGAGTACACATAGAATTCATTGTTTTTTCAGTTATACATGATCATCACCAGTCAATTTCAGAGCACTTTTTATTATCTCAAAGAAAAAGGGTGAGGCAGCCATAGAAGTTAAGATGCTGCTTGGGATTAAGACATCCAAGACTGCTCGAGTTGGAGTCCCAGCTACACACCAGATTTCATTGCACTTTCCTGCTAACGCCCACTCTGGG